TTTGAAAAAGCTGTATTGCCTTTTTTTTTTCTTTTGGCTGGGCCTGGGCTAGATGTAAAAATTCTACAATGATTTCAGTACAGTTTTGTGTCTCAGCTGTTAGCTAAATGTAAGGGTCTGTGTTACTGTATTGTTGTATCTGCTTATGATAAATATTTACTTGACATTGCATTATTCATTGTGCATTATGCTTTCCCACTTGTATTCATTAACATGAATAGCTTAAAAAGATTTAATGAACATCATTATAAATGGGGGAAATGAATGTAAATTTTGCAACCTTGATCCTTGAAAACTATATGAATGAATGAAAAAGCAATGTGTGTCTGATTAATTTGTTTTTAATGGCATGTGGCATTAACAAGAGAAACTTCAGCTAGCTAATTAATAAATTAAGTCAATGTCAGTTATATCTCCTAGATCAAAGTCTTTGATGGAAAAACTTCAGTTGTTTGTTTCAGGGATGAAGCTCTAGCAGAAATGAAGAAATGTTATAATTATACTTTTGTGGAAAAACTTGTTTTTAGCAGAAATCACTTTTTTTGTTGTTGTCGATAATTTTGTTCTGTTGGTTTTGTTTTTATGCATTTTGTACATGTGAAAACATTCCTTGCAAGTCACTTGAGCAGATGTGAATCAAAAGGTCATTTAATTTATTTCTAGGGAAATATTATTTTTGGTGAATTAAAAAAAAATCTAAACATTCATCTTGCGTAAAACAATTTCTATGAAAGTACAATATATCTATACAACAGAATTTCTTGAGTCACTTACAAAATACATGAATAGAGTGGTTATGATAACTTAAATAATTTTGATATAGTAGTTCTAATAAGTTGAATCAAGTTGTAGATATAGGCCTGACCAAAATTTAGTTTTCTTAAGTAAGATTTATAGAGACTTGGTCACTTTTTTGGTGACTTTATCTGAGTAGAAACCACTGCTTTGTGGGTTTAGTGTAAGTTTTATTTTAAAAAAAAAACAGTTATCAATCTGGTTTCACCTACTTGTTAAAAAGATGAGTTGCACTTGAAATTTGAACTACTTCTTTATTCAAAATGCTTGGACAAATTTGTACAAGTGCTCCTTCTTCCCTAGTGCTATTAGAGCAGTTATTGGTGTCTGAATTAGCCAGGAAAATCAGTGACTTAGCAGTTTACTTTCTAATTAACATGCACAGTTACATAACACATGGATTTTCTTAGGAGATGATTATCATTATTATCTTCTTTTTTTATAAGATTTTTATACTGAATCAATTGTGGTTTTCATTTATTTTGGCACTATAAGCATATTTCTTTTTCGTATAGTTCTGACTTCAAACTTCAAAGTAATGATTTGTATGTTAATGGAAACATTCTTGAACTTGTTCATTTTTGTTCATGTAATTGTCTGATAGTCTTGTTTTTGCTTTATGAAACTGTTCAGTCAGGAGGATGTCATTCAATAAAATAATTCTACAGGAGTCATATTAAATTGAACTTGAAGCCAAAGATTTAAATCTGTGAATTGATTTCTTCATGCCATTGCTTGCTAGAAATATTTTTCAACGTTTTCACTTCAATTTTTTGACTCTCTAGACATGTTCAGCTTATCAATGTATTGATGTTTTTATGCTCATTAACCTTTGACCTTCAGAAGGAGACAACTTCCTTTCTGATTTGTCAGTCATTGCTGATTAAGAATTCCCCATATTTATTAGAGATCTAGCTTACAATTATTTCAGAGCATTTCTCATTCATTACATTTGCTTTGTAATATTTAATACTATGTAACCATGCATAATCTTAATAACTAAAGGTATTAGCAATAACTTGAAATTTGGACGTGACAGTTTAAATTAATTTTTTTCATCTTTGTTTAAACCATCAGTTTCAGATATTAAATCAGTAGACTAGAGCTAAATAGTGGTCTGTCTCTCTTCTACTATGTCTGGTTTGAATGGCAACATAAGTTAAAAAAAATAGTCACATCTATACCATTGTTTCGTAGAAATTAATTTTGTCACACTTGAGTCACCATCAAGTGCTATTTTCACATTTATTTTATTTTTTGTGAGTATAGATCTCTGAAAGTTGCTTCTCTGACTTCTGCAATGGTTATTGGTTTTATCAGTTGTTTGATCTTACTTGAGTCAACCTATATCACTTGAGGTGAGTTAAGATGATTGGTCATTATGCTGGTCATTTAACATTCCTATACAGTTGTACACAGAGCATTGTTGATTAACTTCACTTAATTTGTGCTAATTACTGGCAGATGGCACAAGCTCCAGGCACATGTTGACTTGACCATAGTTTTGTTTACTAGTCCTCCAGAATGCTAACACACACACACAACTGGGAAAAACACAGAAAAAAAAAGGTGTGCTGGAAAGAAGACTTGTAATTGATGTGATATGCTTGATGAAGGAAATCTATGAGCTTTGTTTTTAATGATTCATCATTATATGTTAAACTCTACCACAGTCTACTTATTGTAGAAAACACACCCATATTTTACTGTTTTGTTACAAACAATTCTTTCCAAGTTTTGGTTGTCATGGAGATGTCTCCATTGCTTCAAAGCCTTTGTTTATTATATGAAACATTTACATGAGTTATGTCTCTTGCCTTGTCCAACATTTTGTAGAAATTGAAACTTGTGATACTTTTTGTTTTTATAACTAACATGACCTTGACATTCTGTCATTATGTTGATGCCTGGTTGTCTCAGCATTAACTGTAATTTGCACAATTATTTTTTTTTTAGACATAGTGTCTAAACACAGAGATAATAGAATGGATAGATTAAAAAATAAACATTACATCAAACAGTGTTGTTTTTTTCTTCATCATGTTTTGAGTCTATTTAAATGTAACTTTGTACATATTATTTATACTTTTTGTTTCAAGTGAAGCTCCAATCTAATACTTGCACATAGGATACATGCTATGCACAAAGAATGGATTATTTACTATTAAATCTCAAACTGTGAACTTGATTAGTTTTCTTTTTTTTTTTTTTGCTTTGAACTGAAAAAGAAAACAACGTTTGATAATCGACAACAGTGAAAAACAACAGTGAAAAATCTGTTGCCATTATTAGACATACTAGGTGTGGAATCAGATCTGCAGATAAATTGTTAACCTACTGCATGGACATGTAACAAAAAAAAATCCCAGTATCTTCATGCATTCTAAAAATGTTTTAAATAGGATTTTTGAAATCTGAAAGCAAATGTTTAGAACTGATGGTCTAGTGCAGTGGTCTTAAACCTTGTTTGACCCATTGCACACACACCTCCACTTACTTTAGTATATCTTGAAAAATCCACCAGCTCCCCTCTCTCCTTGACAAATACTAAAAAAGAAACATGAGATGGCAAATTTAAGTAAAATACCATTTTGTATCTCATGTAGTTTGACATAGAAAGCCAGACTTTAAAAAAGTTAGTCAAGGAAGGCGAGTTGACCGACTCATTTAGTTGCAAAGAAAATTTGTAGTTTAAAGTTTCCTTATAAGCTGTTGCTTCAAATCACTATAGACATTTCATCAATCCGATATTGATAATACTTTCAGAACTTCAATGGGATCACTGTGGAAATGTAAAGTTCTTGTAAAGTTGGAATGATCAATATTTCAAAAACATCATGAGACTTAATTTTTTTTTTTTTTTTTATAAGTTCTGCAATTCCGTAAGAGGCCACTAAACCATCTTGTGCTTTGCTGTTTTTTTAGCGGCCCCCTAAAGGGGAATAGATGCTATATGTTTTGTGTGGTCTCTCCGTCCGTCCGTCCCGATTAAATCTCGTAAACTTGAAAATATCTGGAAAATCCGACATCATGATATTTTAGACCTTTCAAAGTTCTGATGCAACTGCTACTTTTTTCTTTTCTAAAAGCGAAAAATTTAATTTTTAAAATTAAATATTCAAGCAGTTTTTCATAAAAATACACCACTTTTAAAACTATTCACTATTGATAGTAATAAACACGAGAGACTACTTAGTAAGAGAGGCAAATAATTTCCCTCATTTTTAGCATATTTATGAAAAACAGATTTAGATTTTTGTCAAAAAACTTTATTTTTTGAAATTGTATTACTAAGTTATGTAATCTCAGTCCTACAAACTACCTAAATTTATATTTAAAAAAATGGTTACTTTTATTTTTAAAGAGGACAAAAATCTGGTAAAGTAGGCTGCATGCAAGTGGAATTCAATTTAAAACAACAATTAATAAGCAGCGTTTCATATTATAGACGTGAACAGTAGCGAAATACTAGTAACTATAAATCTATAACACTTAACTAAAGGGGGGAAAAAAAGGAAAAAGTTTTGTTTATTGAGACTTTAAATAAGAGATTAATCGTTAACAAAACATTTAGATAATAAAAGTAAATAAACTGTAAGTTTAGAGACAGAAATTATGTTTGATTTCAATGGTTTTTAAAATGCAGTCGATAAACGTTTTAATTGAATTTGACCCTTATCAAAATTCTATGCTTTACATTATAACCTAGAGATTTTTCATCACTTGATGTTTTGTACTACAGCTATAATGACTACAGAGCATAACAAAAGCTATTAAATGTTCCTAGATTTCATGCACTAACTGCGATATTAAACGTCTGAATGTAGGCCTAACCATTTGAAATGTTACACTACAAATACTTTCTTAAAAGCCAATACAGGCCCAGCCTAATGTCTATAGTTACTTGGCTGCACGTACGATTTTTTTATTTGCTTTGTTTCGGAGCACCTCCAGTTTCTTCTCTCATCTCTAACAGCGAGCGCATTATCTCCCGTTAAAGACCACTGGTTTAGCGTCATTGGTAATAATTAATGGTATGCAACTTTTTGGTACCAGCATTTTCCCACTAAAAGTTCAGACCACAGACCTATTTAAACTAAAAAAAAAAAAAAAAAAAAAGAAAATACTAAATTGTTTAAAATTGCAAGGTCTACATTTCTATTGCTTTATTCACTCACTTTCTTACCAGTTAAGACACCAGGCTTGTCATGTGATATATTAGATAAAGTGCACAAAGACAAGAGCTCTATTCAAATGAATAAATAAATAAATCCTAATAACCAGCAGTATACTTCAATATTTGTACTTTTTTTTTTAATGCCGTGATAAGGGCAGACATATTTCCTCAATCCCCTGTTGAAGACACAGATCATTTCTAAATTACCCACACTTTCTTTATTCCCTCTCTTCCACTTTGACTAATTCTAATTTCTAAAAACAGGAAACCAGAAGGATTTGTGGCAGTTACACATCATAAGAGAATGCTGACAGAAAAAGATGTTTGCTTGCCTGAACATTTACTTTACTGAATTGATTTTATGTTTGGTTGCAAGCTACCCGTTGGCTTGCACTTCAGTTGGAGTTTAGAAAACATGGACATTGGTCCTTTTTCAAAACAAACACAAAAGTTCTATACCATATTTTCGCAAATATAAACTGCGGGTCATAAAAGTTTTTTTTTTATAAAGAAATGGTAGCTATACAAAAGTGCAGGGTATACAAAATATATTTTACTCAAAAACGTAGCATAAATTAAAGAAAACTATAGACATACCGGATGGTCTTTATACCTCCTATAGTTTGCAAAAAGATGGTACACAAAGGGTCTACATTTAAAACTAAGGAGAACAAATTCAAGAAACATATTTTCTGAGTCTATAAATTGTATACAATTATTTACAAAAAAAAAAAAAAACTCCAAAAAGTCAGACATTATTGCTGTTCAGTTTATTAACATAGTGGCAGAAAGCCTTGATGTGTAGCAACAGGGCAGCTACTGTTTTTGAAGTGGGTGACAAGCAGCCACTTACAATGACACATTGGTAGACAAGCTAATAAAACAAAGGATGGCCTGGAACCCATGATTGATATAAAGCTATTTCACTTTGTAACATTGGAGCAGAGGGGAAGAAAGTGTGACCCTATAACCAGCAACTTGCATATGATGATGAAGTCATGATTTAAACCTTACCCCAAGCCCTGACATTATTTCTATATTTATTTACAACTAAAACATGAGTGGGTTGGAGAGACATTGAGATTTAGAACTGTCTGGGACCAGTAATAAAAAGAACTACTAGTCTACAGAGAGAGAGACTGCAGCATAAGGGGAGAATGCTATTCTGGTAAGTGCACTATTATTTTGCTATTTCCTTGACAAATAAATTCAACAAAATGGAAGCTTCAGTGAAACAGCCCTATTCAAAGATATATTTTAAATAGAAGTAAAAATAGAATTTTTTAAAATGTTCATTTAATCAGAAAGAAAAAATCCATTTTAAGGTGAAGGGAAAAAAAATTACTATCAAAATATCAATAAATGAAAAAAAAAAGGGGGGGGGGGAATGTTTTTAAGTTGTTCCCCTTTCTACATCCTAGCCCAAACCTCCTGCATGACAACAGTGGGTTGGATATGAACCTGGGACCATAAAGACAACCAAACGACAGTCTGGTGAACATTTAGTGAACTACTTACCTTTGTTAGTAAAAAAAAACAAAACAATTTCAATAAAAGACTCTTCAGACATCACCACCAGGTATTCCAGCCAGTGATGACTTCAAGTCATGAGTATTGTGAAGCAAAATTTTTTAGTGCAAGGGATTACAATGTCATTAGGAAAGGGGGAGACAAAAAAAACTGCAACATTTGGTGTTGGCCACTGATATAATTAAGCAATCTTATAGCATCATTTAGACGTATGCCCAATCGTACATAAGATACAAGTAGAAATAATATTTCAATAAGTAACTTACTCATTACAAAGACATGAAATAAGAAACAAAACAATGTTTAAGAACTAACATAACAATACATGAAACCAAAGAAATCAGAACTACAAAAAAGAGCCAATGCATACAGCTTTAGAAAAGAAAAAAAGAAAAGAGATATATTCATAGATACTTAGTACTGTTTATTGATGTAGAAGAATTGGTTATTGTTAATGTACAAGTAATTGTAAAAAGAACTTGTACAACACATAAAGACTAATTAGTGATTTGCCCTATATTAATGATTTACTATTGCTTTCTGCATTTTACATGTAACAATTGAGAACAGACCTGAACCTATTGTCTAATGGCTCTGTAAAGAAGCTTGCTGTGTTCATATTCTCAGACTTTGGCTACTGCATTTCTGTGTTAACCAAGATGCTTAACAATAATTCAGAATAGGTCAGCCCAGATAGTCCTCAAGAAAAAACAGAGATAATTTCTGTGACAGCTATTAAACATATTGTGGCTTTCATATGAGAGCAAATATTGAATATAATTGAAAAGTCGTTTTATATATTTGTTAATATAAGAACAAACTTATTCTATACATGAAAATGTATACTATATGGATTCTATTTTATTAATTTTATGTTGTAAAATATTCTTAAGCTTACAGCAATGTTAAAATGTAATTATGCCATGCTTCGTAGGAGACACAAGATTAATTTCAAATAAAGTGTAATAAGTGTTTATACATGAGAACAAAAATAAATTACTATAAATAGAAAGTTGCATGTAAAAATATTCAAAAAAAAAAAAAAGTCATCCATTAAAACATTATGTGCAAACAATATATAAGACCTAATACTCAGTAGAACAATGGTTCCCAATATGTAGAGGTATTTCTCAACTTGAAAAAAAAAAAAAAAGGGGGGGTGGTGGTGATAGATACCTAGTGAAAGCACTAAAAATGTTATTGCAGTTGAAACAGAACAATCTGATACCACAGATTTAAAAACCTTCCAACACAATACAGGGCTCATTATTAAGAGAAAAATTATAGAAATTTCTACAGTCTACAAACTGAAAAATCTCATAGATATCCTATCAGGTTGAGAACCACTACTCCATGAGACTAGCCTCATCATAAACATTTTCTTTCAAGTCTATCTGACTTGTTTGTTATAAGTCACAAGGAAAACCAAAAAAGCTTAAACTAATCTTAATATCTCTTAAGGGTAAAAAAAAATACAATCTCACCAAAAATAATACAATATATATTTTAAAAAAGGTGTTTAGTAGTTCTGATGAATACAAAATCATTAAACAAATTGTAAGCTGCTCACTTATTAAAAAAGAAAAGGCACATTTTTTTTTTACTGCAGCTGACTATAACACAAGTGCAGCAGACTATAAAACATGACAAATAGGGAAATTAAATTATTGAAGAAAATTCTAACACAGACCTAGATATTCAATCCTTTTTTTTTTTAAATTAAAATAATGAGAAAAAAAAAAAAAGATTTAAGGACTGACTGTTGTCTTTTGAACAATTTAGGTTGTGAAGAGTAACAAAAACTCTTTTATTGTAAATAAACCTAATAACTCCCTACTAAAGTAGGTTTTGGAAATGCTACAACTACAATATAACTAGACATACTTCAATTAGCATTAATTAAGAAAAGTTACACATGAATTTTGACACACACCCACAAAATCCAAGTGAATGAGGTCTACTCAAGCAGATAAGTGATTAGTTTGAGCAATTAAATAGTACTAGTTGTCAATAATGAGTTTTCTGAATACATATGCATATGCCACTAAATGTATGGTGTAGATATATTTATATATAATTTAAATCACTGTATAGTGTTTAGAATGAATACATTTATAATTGATGTAAACATTAAACAAAACTAGAAAAATACTAGAGCTGGATTACAGTCATTGAAGTATTGCAATTGTTTCATTTATTACTATTATTATTTATAAGCTTCTGAATTCAATGAAAAGATGATAGAATTCAGACCACATTTCAATAAGTACTTGTGTTTAGACATAATAATAATGATACAGGCAGGAAATAAAATAAGACTAAGATAAAGAGAACATATAACTATTATGTCATAAGTAAAAAGACCCAAAGGCTGAATGAGAGTTCAGCCTGAGAGAATCACATTAACGTTTCTTCTTGCGGCGGCCTTTCTGTTTAGAGCCTGTGGCACCAGGATGGCTGTGATTCCAACTGTTGTCATCTGGTGGTGTGTGCGACTGACCCCAGGATGAACTCTGACCTTCACTTGCTGCAGCAGATTGATTGATTAGGTGGTTGATAAAATCTTCTAGACTTGGTTCTCTGGAAAAAAAAGTGGCTGTTTAATTTTCCCAATATTCAAAATAGGTATAATAAAAACGTCATTGTCTTCAGGGACCAAAATAGTTTCCTCTCAAAGTCATATGTTGAAAATCAGTTCTTCCATTTTTTTTTTTTGTGATTAACTCCCCTTATCTGTTAACAAAATACAGCAGAGAGTATTGAAGGCTTTACCAGAATTTTGGACAATGAACTTTGGCTGATTAGCAACTGTTCATTGGTCTGCCATACATTATTCTCCAAATTTGTTTCTTAAAATCATAAATGTACAAAGAGAATCCCTTACCCTGCTTGGCGTTTATTTCTTTTGTTTCCTTCTGTAGCTATTCTATAAGTAACATTGTGGTAGTTAGCTTTCATGTGTTTAAAATACTCCTTCTGGAAACAAAAAAAATAAAGTCAACTCATAAAAAAGCAAAGTTTTGTTATGCAAGTAAATACCTTGTTATAATTATTTCTACAACTAGTAAAGCCAAAAAAAAAAAAAACCTCACTGTCCGACTCATTCAACCCTAATTATCCATTCAGGAACTTAGTGATACTTTTTTTTAAAACAAATTTTCCATTAATCATAACCTTAGAGTAATGAAACCTTTTTAAAGTGCATTACTTCTTGAAACTGCTCTCACTGGTCAATTCTCCCATTTCAAAACTAGTCATCCACCAGTCTACCAAATTTGTACTAAAAGTAAGAAAACTTACATGACAAGCCATCCATTGTGTTATATCAAAAACATGATTCTCCATCAGGGCATAATAGTGCCAGCGAAACCCAAGCATTGTGGTCTCTGCCCAAACATCCCCCTATAAAACAAAACCATGACATGTTCTATGTTATACTTTTTAAAAAAATCATTTACTTTACCAATACAATTCAAACATGATAAAGCTTATTACTAGTATAATTAGTCTTAAAATTAAATTAATTGATTTTTTTTTTACAGTTATATTGGCTTATTCATATTTGGTCTTCTGTTTTTGAAAACTACCATTTAATTATAGAGATTATAGTTGTTTATCAAAATAAAACTTAACAGATACATTTAACAAAAAAGTTGTTTTTAGCGGCCCCCGAAAGAGGAAAAGACGCTATTAGTTTTGTGTGGCCTGTCTGTCCCATTTAGATCTCAGAAACTAGAAGAGTAATTGAAAATCAAACATCATGATATTTTAGATCATTCAAAGTTCTGATGCAACTGCTACTTTTTTTCTTTTCCGAAAGTGAACCATCTAATTTTTTAAATTATATATATGCAAGCAGATTTTTCAAAAAATTACACCACTTTTAAATGAAAAACTTAAATTTTTTAAAAGGACATGGAATTCCTCATTAATAACTCAAGCTTCATTCATAGATTCGCACATTGGTACAAAAAATTTGCATCTAAGGTCACAATGGTAAAAGTGTCAATGGATCATTATAAAATATATTTTCCATTTATTAACTAACTCATTGAATAGAATACTGATTCAAATGTTGTTTTTAAAAAAGAATTTTGATACAAACTTCGTTTTAGTTATAAGTTTAAAAAATAACGAACTACTTTTATAGCACGCACTTTTGACATATCCTCATTATAGGGGCCTACACTTGACAGTCTAGATAAGACTAAATAGAGCCCAGATCTAGATATATTTATAATATATATATATAACAAATGTATTGATAATTTGAAAAAAAATTTAATTATTAAGGCAATAACTTATCTTCTGACAGCTTAGGGGTGCAGATTTATTTATTATGTAAACAATAGTATCACATTAAGAAATGAATTGGATACGAACAGCATAGTACACCATTCCCCAGTAACAAAAGGCCTACTATTCATGATCATAACATTGGCCTAGGTCTAGTAATTATAAGATTAATCATGTAAATTCATAAGAGTTCTAGTCTAGATATAGTAGATTCTATATCAAGATTCTATATCTAGATCTAGACTTAGATTAATTTAGATATAGACATAGACTTAGATCTTGGATCTAGATTTAGATCTAAAACTAGGTCTGGATCTAGCTAGATCTATGTCTAGTTTGTATGACAATGGAGATATTAATTTTTATTTGCGAGGGGAAAGTCTTAAGTAGTTTGTACACGATTGTAGCTTACAGTAGGTCAAGAATTATTTGTTTTTTTTTGTGTTGTCAATAATCTAATTTTGTTAGAATAAATCTTTTTTAGTTTCTCTTTATTACATGTAACATGTTATTAATTTTAAATGTATGGATAACGTTAATAATCATTATTTTTAAAAATATAAGTGTACGCTAAATGAATATATGGAGATGCTGTGGCTGAGGGGTAAAGCACTTGGAACCTGAAGTCCCGTGTTGAAATCCTGGTGAAGACTCTGGGTGGACTACTTCAGGGGCAGATTTTGAGTTTGTGTTTCCACACAAACTGACTTTGTAACCTTGTTTTTTTAAAAATCAAGTCTTCCTTTATGAAGCTGATAGTGGTCTATAATTTCTCTTTCTATTTATTTCTTTTAATGCTTCACTATTGCAAGAAGTCTTTCCAGTGAGCTTTGAACAATCAAGTTCTTCTATTAACAGTTCAGCTCATGATTTCTATAGAAGACTGCATGCACAATGTTCATAACTCTTTAGTTATTACAAAGAAACATTTGATTTGAATGCAATAACTCCTGCTGAAGGCATGTTTAAAAAAAAAGTATGTAAGCCAAATTAAATTTTAAGATAACATTTTGAAAAATTATAACGCTGAAACTAGACTGTTCAATACGTGGCCAATATGAAAGTTATTTTTTTCCCAAAGATATAGATAAGTTGTCAAATTTCTAAGAAAACTGTTAGAGTCATTTTTGAGCTACCCATCCATCCATTTAATTCATGAACCCAGGAAGAGTTTGCAATTGTAGAAAATAAAATAAGTGTATGCAAATAGTAAAAAAAAAAAAGTAAATGGAGATATAGACAAATAGAAAGATGTTTGTTTTTTAAAATGTATATGTGTTTTTAAAATTTTAGTTGGGTGCATGGTGCAAATTTATTAAGTAATTACAGTAATCCATGAAATTGTACTGTAATACCTTAACCAACACTTGTAATACATGATATCAATATATAATTAATAAACTAATTATAATTCCACTAGAAACTCCTGACTACAAGACTATTAGATAAACAGGTCAAAGTTCACCTCTTTTGCAGCATGAAACACATTGCAGTGTTGACAAAACCTTGCACTGTAGAAAGGTCTCTCCACTGGAAAGCGCTGATGCTTGCCATGGCAGTTATCGCAGGGCATGATATTTGCAGCCTGTCAACAATAAATAACACCATTATACCTATCTAGCCTGAACACTAGCTCTAAGTAATAGGATAACCATTCACAGGTTATTGGCTTTTATTAATTTGTCTTCTAATTATAAGATATAGCAAGAACAAGCAAAGATGAAATGATGGATAGAGTTAAATAATTTCCATTCAAGTATAATTTAAAAAGTTCCAGATAGATAAAGTTGAACAATATCCATTCAAATACTGATAAAGTTAAAATATTTCCAGATAAATTGACTAATAAAGTTGAAATTTTTTCCATAAAAGTATAGATAAATAGTAATTTCATAAATTTAATAAACTTACTGTTACGGAAAAAAACAGGCCCAGAAAATCTTACTGATAGAATTAAAACAGTTGCAGATAAACTTAATAAAGTAGTGAGGACAGTTGCATATTTAAGTATGGATATAGTTATAACAAATGATATACCAGCTATATGAAGACCCATCCCTAGTGACGGAAATAAAAAGAACAGATTATGCTGGGCAGATCACCTCAAAAAATATTTGAAACAGAGGAACAAAGATTGTTTACCAACAAAAACCAAAAGACTGGCACCCAAAAGGCAGACCACAGTGGCTTGATGATGCAGAAGAGAATCTACAACAGCTTAAGAGTCTGGGCGTGGAGACGAAAAGCATAGGATAGATTTGAATGGAAGGATATGTTGAAGCAGGTCAGGGCTCCATGGGCTCTAGTGGCGGTGGGATGGATGGAGTTAGAACAGATCTGGATTAATTAATTATTTCAGTGAGAACACTTCTGGATCAAATAATAATTAGGATTCAATAGGTAATAATTATTAATCATGACAGACATAATCATTTTATTTTAAAACAGCAAGAAGGGAAGCATGGTGAAATACCAGACATTTTCTCAGAAGATGATTTCTGAGTCCCCAACCGTTGTTAAGAGTAAGTAAAAGCAGATGCTGATGTGCATATCAAAAATACTTATGCACTTAAAAGAAACAAACAAACAAGGAACTAAGAACTCTGCCAAGGTCTTGAAAAGAAAACTAGTTAAGCTAAGATATATAGATATCAAAATTATGTTTTTTTTAGCAAAGCAGTTTTTTTTTTATACATATTAGAAATATAATCATTTATTGTTATAGTTATTTGAATACCTCCTGAATCTTGGTCTGTAGTTTAGATAGCATCTCAGCAAACTCTCTCTGGTAACAAATAAGGGAACAGTTTAATTAAAACAGTATTCACTAAAAATTGAGAACTATATATATATATACATATATATAATTTTTTAAATTTTTTTTAACATTCACTCACCATTGCTTCTGCTTCATTGGCTTCTTGTGTGTGACTGTCATAAGTTTTCCTTTTAGACTGTAAATCAATAAATAATTATCACCAAATGAGACATTATTTATACTAAGTAACACTTGAAAACACAAACAGGACTTGAAAATATATTGTTTACAAAATTATATATAACATAATATGTATCTTCTTTTTAATCCT